GTAGCAGAAATTTGGAGTAGTTGGAGAACCGGCAAATCCCACCTCTGACTGGCCCTGACAACCCCATCTATTCTCTGCCTCCCGAGTCCCAGCTGATTGGCTGGGTCTTCTTCGGTTGCCCTGCCCAGGAGAATGGAGCTGGAAAGCAGGTTAGTGGGATGGGAAGGGAATGGAGATTTTGCAGTATCCATATCCTGCCACGCCCATCAAGCCATGCCCACAGAACTGATAGTAAACTGTTTTTGAATCCCACCACTGACCCACACTCACACCTCAAGCAGCCTCTGGCTCCAAGTAGTCCAGCCCAACACTGTGAACACCACGGCTGCACAGCAAGAAATCCAGTGGGACAAGTTGAAGAGTCCAGCAAGCCAGGAAGCACGGCAAGGAATCCAGAAATCCAGCAAGAATGCAAGGAACCCAGGAAAGTTCAAATGTCGGCACGCAACGCTCCAGGAATTCAGGGTTTGTTCCCGACAAATGCCCCTCCCACAGCATCTCCTTAAGTCTCAGTCCCCAGGTGTCCCGTATGGAGAGGGGCAGGGCGGTCTCCTCCCAAGCCTGCGCTGTTCCCACCTTCTCTCCACTCTCCGTGCTTGAGGATCAGGAGTGGGTGGTCCTTGCTCATCGCCTGAACTCTGTCTCTCATATTCGCTGCTTAGCATTTCTTGGTCTGTAGTCGTGGCTTGGTGGGCATGGTGTGGCATGGTGGGCGTGGCAGGGGAAGGATATACTGTAAAATCCCCCTTCCCTCCCCACCCCACTAACCTGCTTTCCAGCTCCGTTCTCCTATGCAGGGCAAGCAAAGGAGACCCAACCTGGGACTCAATGGGAGGCAAAGAAGAGGTGGGGTGGGCGGGGCCAGTCAGAGGTGGGATTGGCTGGTTCTCCAAACTACTCGAAATTTCCGCTCCTGGTTCTCCAGAACTGGTCTGAACTGGCTGAATCCCACCTCTGATCCTAAGGTCTTGAAGTGACAAATTGCTTCTTGCAGGACATGCCTTCATTTGGGTTTAGTTGGAAAGACACTGGCCACCCATTCAGGTTCTCCAAGCACGTGGGGGCCCTCTGCTGTTCACAGTTGACCCTTCCTCTCTTCTGCACCCCATGCCCTTCACCCAGGTCTCTGGGGCGTTCCTCCCAGGGGTGGGATTCTACCAGTTCGCACCTATTCGCTAGAACCGGTTGTTAACATTCTAAGCTGTTGGGAGAACCGGTTGTTAGAAGAAAAATTACTGGTCTAATCCTGTAAGGAAGGCAGGAAGGAAACATTCTGGTGTTGCTTACAGAAACTGCCTCTCCGTTAACCCTTATTATGTTCTTGGCAGGACTAGACTTCCTGTCTCAGGAACTTCTCTGGAGTTTTTTTCCCCTCCTTTGCTGGTACTTTGCTTGTGTGGAGTGACCATTCAAAGTTACAATGGCTCTGACAAAAGTGACTTATGACCGTTTTTCACACTTACGACTGTTGCAGCATCCCCACAGAGTGCATCCCCACTCGTGAGAGGCCAGGCGAGGAGGTGCGTGCCTCGCTGTGAGTGATGTTGAGTTGGCCGCGCCCAGCCAATAACATGACCACCAAGCCACGCCCTCCAACTAAGCCACGCCCACAGAACCGGTTGTTAAAAAAAATGGAATCCCACCCTTGGTTCCTCCCCACAGGAGTTGCTTCTCATTGCAGGCCGAGTCTTCAACGGTTCGGCTAAGCCCATCGACAGAGGCCCCGTGGTGATGGCCGAGGACTTCCTGGACATTAACGGTGAGTCCCCTTGGTTCGGTTGTGTCGGGTGGGAGGGGGAAGCTGGCCCAGGGCCGGCAGGCTGGTGCTGTGAATTGTGGCAGGCAGTGAATCCTGGGGAAGAAGCTGAGTGGGGGGAGTTGACCCATGGGCTCTCCCCCCCCAATGGCCGAGCTTTTGGACATTAAACCGAGTGGAGAGGAAACCTTCTCTTGCCCAACCGTGGCAGTGACTAGGTGGAGGTTCTGTCTGGCAGCCCGACAACGAAGAAGGCGGAACGAGGGAGCACGAGGGTTAAAAGAAGGACTGGCAGGTCTCTCGATTTTAAAATGTCTGTGCTTTGATTTGGCAAAGGTATTTAAGAAGAAGAGGAACCCAACTGGGGGGGTCAGCAGTGGGCCTAGCCATGTCCCTTTGAAAGACTAAATTGTGTTTTTAGTCCTTCAGAAACTAAGCACTGATTTACACTGGGATAATTCCTTCCTTCCCTCTCCCCCTCCTTCCCTCCCTTTCCCTCCTTCCCTCCCTCCCACCTTCCCTCTCTTCCTTCCTTTCCCTCCCTCCCTCCCTCCCTTTCTCTCTTCCTTTCCCTCCTTCTCTCCCTCCTACCTTTTCTCCCTCCTTCCCTTCCTTTCCCTCCTTCCCTCCCTCCCTCCCTCCTACATTCCCCTCTTCCTTCATTTCCCTCCCTCTCTCCCTCCCTTACTTTCCCTCCTTCCTTCCCTCCCTTCCCTCCCCCCCTTCCCTCCCTTTCTCTCTTCCTTTCCCTTCTTCTCTCCTTCCTACTTTTCCTCCCTCCCTTCCTTTCCCTCCCTCCTTCCTTCCTTCCCCTCCCTCTCTCCTTTTTTCCTCCCTCCCTCCTTTCCTTCCTATCCCTCCTTTCCTCCCTCCCTCCTTCCCTCCCTCCCTTTCCTTTCCTTCCTTTCTCTCTTCCTTTCCCTCCTTCTCACCCTCCTACTTTTCCTCCCTCCTTCCTTCCCCTCCCTCCCTCCCTCCTTCCCTTCCTTCCCTTCCTTTCCCTCCATCTCTCCCTCCCTCCCTTTCCCTCCCTCCTTCCTTCCCTCTCTTCCTTCCTTTCCCTCCTTCCCTCCCTCCCTTTCTTTCTCCAGGGCAGCCTATCAACCCTCAAGGACGCATTTACCCTGAGGAGATGATCCAGACGGGCCTCTCCCCCATCGACGTCATGAATAGCATCGCCCGGGGACAGAAGATCCCCATCTTCTCCGCTGCTGGTCTCCCCCACAACGAGGTACGGCCCTCCCGAGCCTCCCTCCCCCATTTTGCCCCACTGGTTCAGAGCAGGACAGCTCTGGTTCCGGAGATTTGGGCGTGGTCTTTCGAGAGAGCCGTCTTCGTTTCAAACTCCACTCCCTTCTAGGGCTGACAATGTTACTCGTTGGGTGTCTAAATGTCTGCAAGAATGCAGCACAGCTCAGAGAACACCAAAGACCCCAGAGTTGCTCTTCTCCTCCTCTTCCTCCTTCTCCTCCCCGCCCCCCACCTCCACAAACCCCACTCCCCCAATGACATTACCTAGCTTGGTAATGAAACGTCTACAAGAGAACAACCCAGGTCAGAGAGCACCAAAGGACCCTACAATAGTAGGAGAGAACTTTAGTAGAGAACTAAACCCAGGTTTGAGCGATGGCCTCCTGGACCGCCTGCCATTCCCATCTTCCACGGCTTCTCACCCTCCTTCTCCCCTCCCCCCTTCATCCCAGATCGCAGCTCAGATCTGCAGACAGGCTGGCCTGGTGAAGAAATCGAAAGATGTGGTGGATTACCACGAGGATAACTTCGCCATTGTCTTCGCAGCCATGGGGGTAAGTCACGTCTTCCACAGCGTCAGGGTGTTTACAGCGTGAGTCCTATTGTGAGACAACCCAGGAGCAAAACACAGGACACAGAGGCTTTGTCTTTTAACATTGGTTTATATACAAGGCTGCAATATACATACGTACAAGTGTTAGAGGCAAAAACCAGGCAATCAATCCATCTTCAACTCTGCACAGGGAACCACAATGGAGATAGAACAGGAGGAGAAAGACGCCCTCACATGGCCTCCCTTATATAGACAGCTTCTTAAAGCGGCAGTACTCTGCTGACTCATCCTCAGTTCATCATCTTGGCCTTATCTACAGCCTTAAAGCAGCTGGTCAGCTATTAAATCTTCATTACCTTAACAGGATGGAGACGTCTCTTTCCCCAATCTGTCCACAAAAGACTCTGGAAAGAGAGGCTTCTTTCTGGACGCTGGACCTCCCACTTGGCAAGAAACGGTGAGGCCACCCAGAGTTTCCCACTGAAGGACCTTCAGCCTGAGAGGTTCCTTCAAAGTGAGCCCCAAGTCCCAGTGCTAACTTTGCAGGTAGTCCTCGACTGAAGACCAGAATTGAGCCCGTTGCAAAGCGAGACAGTTATTAAAGGGAGTCTTACTTTTCCAACCTTTCTTGCTACCATTGTTAAGCCAATCACTGCAGTTCTTAAGTTAGTCACACAGTTGTGAAGGGAATCTGGCTTCTCCGTTGACTTGGCTTGTCAGAAGGTCGCAAAAGGGGATCGGTTGACCCCGGGAACCGTACGACCGTCATAAACATGAACCAGTTGCCAAGCATCAAATTTTGATCACGTGACCGCAGGGATGCTGTAACGGTCATAAGTGTGAAAACATCCCTGCTCCTTCTTCCTCATTCTGGTTGTTGCTGTTCAGCCACTAAGTTGGTTCCAATTCCTTTACTCAACCTCTCCTCTGTTCTCCACATTTTGTGTATTACAGAGCAGGGGTCTCCAGATTTGGCAACTTTAACATTTGTAGACTTCAACTCCCAGAATTCCCCAGCCAGCATGTCCCTCCCTCTCCTCCTCCTCCTCCTCCTCCTCCTCCTCCTCCTCCTCCTCCTCCTCCTCTTCTTCTTCTCCTTCTCCTTCTCCTTCTCCTTCTCCTTCTCCTCCTCCTTTCGATCCGAAGGATTTCTTCCTAATTTATTACAGCAGGGAAGTCATTTCCTAATTTCTATGTTTTGTATGCGCTCGGAGCCGTCGTTCTACAAGGCTCTACGTTGCTTTAGATCAGGGCTTCCCAACGTTGGCCACCTTAAGACGCGTTGACTTCAACTCCCAGAATTTCCCCAACCAGCATGTCCCTCCCTCCTCTCCTCCTCCTCCTCCTCCTCTTCCTCTCTTCTAGCACTGATGATGTTACCTAGTTGGGTCATGAAACGTCGGCAACAAAACCACAATGCTCAGAAAGCACCAAGGACCCCACAATCCTTTCCCTCCTCCCCCTCCTCCTCCTCCTCTCCACATGTCTGGCTCTGAGGAATTCTGGGAGTTGAAGTCCCCAAGTCTTACAGTGGCCAAGTTTGAAGAGCCCTGGTCTTTGACAACAAAGCCATTTATCCACTTGAGGAAGACACTGCAGCTTTGAACGCCACCGCTTCCTCAAATGGCTGTCTCACTCAGCTGTGAGCACCTAAATCCAAACTAAAAAAATACCATTTGCAGAGACACAGTAGATCCAGAGCCTCTCTGTTCCCTGGGAGGTTTTTTTTTACTCCTCTTGACTTAAGAATCACATCGTGTGGAGACTTCAGGTAGCTTCAGAGCATCAACTGGCCACCGTTGGAGAAAGTCTGTCCCCATCCATGTTACTTTGGCCCAACGATGGTTGAACGGCCCTTCTGAACGTTAAAATCCCAAATGCAGAAATGGCTTCAACTTTGGAAGTATTGCCACAACCGTCCGACCAATGATGGGACTCAAATGTTTTTGCTACCAGTTCTGTGGGCGTGGCATGGTGGGCATGGCCTAGTGGGTATGGCAGGGGAAGGATATACTGTAAAATCTCCCTTCCCTCCCCACCCCACTAGCCTGCTTTCCAGCTCCATTCTCCTGTGCAGGGCAAGCAAAGGAGACCCAGCCGATCAGCTGGGACTCAATGGGAGGCAGAGAAGAGATGGGGTTGGCGGGGCCAGACAGAGGTGGGATTGGCCGGTTCTCTGAACTACTCAAAATTTCTGCCACCGGTTCTCCAGAACCGGTCAGAACCGGTTGAATACCCACCTCTGCGCCCAACCTCATGGTGGCTCATTGCACAGGGACCTCCATCTAATTGGACGATAGGCAATGACCATCACTGGGCAGATGTTGTAGGCTTCTGTTCCCAACTCAAACAAACAAAGAGTAAACAGATGCCTAATCAGGGAACTGCCAGCCATGCTGCAAATACTTGTATATAAAGAGAGAGCAACCCCCCCTCCCTTCTAGCACTCCTGATGTTACTTAGCAGGGTCATGAAACGTCTCCAAGAAAACAACCCAGCTTAAAAAACACCAAGGACCGCACCGTTTTTTTCCTCCTCCTCCTCCTCCTCCTCCTCCTCCTCCTCCTCCTCCTCCCCCTCCTCCTCCTCCTCCTCCTCCTCCTCCTCCTCCTCCTCCTCCTTCTGAAGAACTGAATTGAACTGAAGAAGCTTCTTGAATGAAAAGCAAACGGTTTTCAAAGAAAATATCAAAGTCCAGTTGCCTTTTGAAAAAGGCACCATTTGGGACAGAGAATAGAATAGAGAGACTATAGAAGAGAAGAAAATACCAAATAGAATAGAAAATTAATAGAATAGAATGCAGAATGGAATGGAATGGAATAGAATACAGAAGGGAAGGGAAGGAAAAGGAAGGGAAGGGAAAGGAAGAATAGAATAGAATAGAATAGAATAGAATAGAATAGAATAGAATAGAATAGAATAGAATAGAATAGAATAGAATAGAATAGGATAGGATAGAATAGAATAGAATAGAATAGAATAGAATAGAATAGAATATGTGTAATGGAAGGGAAGGGAAAGGAAGAGAAGAGGAAGAGAAGAGAAGAGAAAGAGAAGAGAAGAGAAGAGAAGAGGAAGAGGAAGAGGAAGAGGAAGAGGAAGAGAAGAGAAGAGAAGAGAAGAGAAGAGAAGAGAAGAGAAGAGAAGAGAAGAGATGGAATAATTCTTGACTGTTAAGACTTTGACTTCCAAAATGGAGGAAATAATTTCCATCTCGTTGGGTTTTCAGAGCTATAATTCGCACAACCCTTGTTTTTTTAATTCCATAGCAAGATCTTTTTCTGATTGTGCCCTCAAGTGGACAAATGTATATAGGAATGCCTGGAAAAAGGCTGGTTTCTCTTCCTACTTGGGTCTTATATATTACACACACACACACACACACACAAACACCCAGGAGCTGAAAATGCCCTCACTTTTAAACAGAAAATCTGCTTTTCCTGAATGTTCGATGCATTTTCCAAAAGCGTCTGTTGCCTTTTGTTAAAGGAACTCTGAAAAATCTCCCCATTTTGTGGCTCATCGCAAAAATAACATTGCCAAAAAGACAAAAGTACATTTCTTGATGATAGATGTTTAAAGTTTGGGGAACTAGTTTCCCTTACGTTGGTCTTTGACAAAGTTATCTGTGCAAGAATGTAGAGCTGGCATTGGGGAAGTTTGCCAAATTAAGGAAGCGTGAGAGAGAAACAGAAAGTAATCTTGCTTTCATTTTGTTTAATGTAAAATCAGACAACTAGAGTAAAAGCTTAGATGGGCTTTCAAGAGTGATATCCAGTGTAGGCAAATTAAGAAACAAATGTGCTGGGATTCTAGGAATGTATTTTATTGTTGTTGGGCAGTGTTTTTCAAATGTGGCAAATTTAAGATGTGTGGATTTCAAGTCCCAGAATTCCCCAGCCAGCAACCCTGCAACTTCAAGTCCATACAGCAATGCTGGCTGGGGAATTCTGGGAATTAACGAAGTTGAGAAACACTACAAAAAAGACTTCCTGGGGAATTCTGAGAGTTGAAGTCCACACATCTTAAATTTGCCATATTTAAAAAACACTG